ATTTTCCAAAAATGGCTGTCATCATTTTATTTACATTAGATCATAGTTTTTCAAAAATTGGATCTTCGTACAATATTCATTATTAACGTCATCGATTATAGATAAGCTTCTGTGTAGAATTTTTTCTAGTGTTCTGTAGTTTTTGAAGCCTAGAACTAATAGTTAAATATGTATTAATTAATTTATATTTGAAATGAAATAAAAATAGTAAAAAAATCTTGTTATTAGTTATTAATAAATATTTGGAACATAATTAAATATCCACAAAAGTGTATTTGGAATATGGAATTCGATAAAAAAAAAAAAATGGTATTAATGGTTGGTGAATTATTTGTTTGGATGTTACTGAGTTATCTTAATTAATAATAAACAACCCATTTATTTTAAAAGAAGGTAAAAAATGTAATTTTCATAATTTACCAGGCATGTAGTCAGTGACAAAAAACTAGTGTTCGTAAAATGTTGGGTATGACATCAGCACTTAATGTACAGTTAATTACTTAAGGCGTCCGGTGCCAATGTATTTAAGTCAACAAATAAACTTTCTAACCACATTTTCTTATTAAACTAATATAGGGTAATATTATACAGACCACATTGAACCTTCGTTTTTAAATATTTTAATCTTAAACTTAATAGTAAATTTTCAAAAATAATTCAATTTTGAGCTTTTTTTTACAAATTATATTAATCCATCTGAAATAAATAACACCAGAGTGTTCAATGCGGATTTTAGGAAGTTTTTWCAAATAAAAAAATAATTTTCAAAACCTGACAAATTTACAAGGACAGAGACATTTTTCTGTGAAGTGATTTTTTTTCTCGATATAATTCATCGAATCAAATCTTCTTTCTCAGATAAGTACCGTAACCGTACAGTAGATTACTGAATTTAATTAAAGGTGTAAAAGAAAAAATAGTAGCAATATTATGGCTAATTCTATATTTTTTTATATCTCACGTAAAATATATAAGGGTATGCATTTTTATACATAATTATATAATTATGTAATGCACACTCGAYGAATATAAAAGTTAATACCTATGTTAGTTAATGTTATATATTCACTTTTATTGAATACAATATAGTATTAACCTAAATAATTGGTATCATAAAAAATAATGAAATGTTAATTTATCATTATTAATACAATCAGAAGTTATATAGCCAGTGTTATACTGGGTCTGGCTTATTATTTACAAATAGGTACATAGTTTTTACCAAGAAAAAATTAAATTGTTTTAATTCATTTTTATTGAGTTCCGACATGCATTAAATATAATAATACATTTTTGTTATGTTTTGGACTTTATTGGTAACAACTTGATCATCATTTTGAAATGTATGATTTGTACCTTAAGTTTTACCTTTGAATCGCCATTGTTTCTTGACTATTTCGTGTGTTTGGTGCATGTCGTACTACTTCGCTGAAGCCTCTGGGTAGACATAATACTTGGGTTTCTGGTGGGCGCCGCAAATGTTGGACTCCCAACGATACTGGACCTGGTTAATCGTTCCACTATAGAATGTCAAAAGCTACTTAACTAAAAAATGGCCGTGTATATGATGTAGGGCGCCAATGGCAGAAAACGAAGAGTAATTAAAAATACATTTATGTAAATTAAATGAACCACAAAATTTGTTTGAWTAATGACAAATAATYACCTACGTTGAGACATTTTTTAATTTAAGGTTTATTCACTTTGTTGTGTTCTGGAATAAATATTTTTTTTATAATTTAATTTTAGATAAAAATATTCAATGCAGGTTCTTATTGTAGACCATCATTAATTTATAGTGAACAAATTAATAGTTTTTGAAAATAATTCTAATCTTGTTTATTTGTAAAATTTTAATTCATGTCTACAGTCAAACTATTTCTCTTTTTTCTCTTATTTTATATTCACGAAATTGTAGGTATATCCCTATGCATTTCTAAACTGATTAATTCTTAATCTTCCATTGCAAAATAATCATCTAACATCAAATCATTTATACAGCCCCAATGTTTACATTACAATATAATTTTTTTCTATCAACCTTACTACCAATGTTTACGATTYAATATATAATGAGTAATGACTGAATTCTAAAATACCTATACTAATCTATTCTATTATTTTTCCACGTATTTTAAATACGTTACCTGATTTGGACCTGGTCAAGTAAAAATGAGATTCACCGTTCATTCGAATCACGTTAAGATCAATYGAAGCTTTGTCATGGTTTCTTAAGCCTCCGCAGTAGCATATGATTAATTTGAAATATGCTCTGAATCTGTTTAAAAAAAATGTATAATTGTTATTTAAAAATACATCCACAATCAGGCGATTGTCACATACCTAGGATTCATCCAATAATAAATTATTGGATTCACCATCGAATTTGACATTGCTAACCAGTAGAAACTCAGGAACAGATCTTGCACATACGTTTTGACTACTATACCTTTGTTGTGGTACGCGTATACGAAATATGAGTGATAAGGCAACCAACAAATCAAAAAAATTGTCACTACCACAGCGAACATTCTGACAACCTATAAAATCAAATAAAACATTGGTTTTATTAATGTATATACTTGTGTTATATTTTCTTAAATTGCAATCATTAATGTTATTGTTAATTTAATTGTGTTATATTATTGCATATTTTAACGTATATGTCTAGTCTGTAACTTTTAGACTCAAGTTGTTCATACATAGCTTATAGAATAATGATTAAACGAATCACGAATAATTTTTGAAATACAAAAAATCTAAATTATTACCTAGTAATGTTTCTTTTAACAGTGATTTTACATCGCAAAGTTATGACTTCAAATTTTTACAGTACGGTAGGTACAATGTACATACGCGAATTAATAAAATACAACATTGAGTGAAKATTTTGTTGAGCACATAAAGTTTTTTTTATTTTATTTCAGAATACAGAAATTATTGACCACAGGAAAAGCATGGATTACATTTCGATCATATCATAAAACAACTGAACCGTTCGTCTTGAAAACGCCCCAATGCTTTCGACCGGAACCTGTGCGTCATAATATACTYGCGTCATTGGTTTTTAAATCATATTTACTACCRTTAACGTCTTGTACCGAGAGTGATATTACCAAGGTATACTATGTTGGACGAATATAACTACATTCAATCGTAGAAACATGAGCTAATTAGAATTTACCGTCTTAGCTTAATTTATTAGTCCAGTCAAGTAAAGAATTCTTTAGMATCGGGTCGTATGTTTCAATATTGGAAAAGTATCATAACATRACATACATTTTCAATGTACCAAYTGATCTCAGTTAATGCAAAATTCCACGTAGAATAGGTAGTAAAAAATATTGATGTTAAACATTTTCCAATATGAATTATTTAGTAGATTTATTGTCGTGATTACCCAAGGGATTTTGCGAGTACATACYAATCGAAAAAATTAAATAATAGTCTTATAGGTAAATTTATTGTAAAAACTCGTAATCTTAGCTCAATATCAGAAAATTATTAACAATTATATTAAATTAAATATATATATATTTTCTTAATTGATATAGTCAAATAAAATTTTAAGTATTAAAGTTTTTCTCTCAACTAACAAAAAAAAAGTAATAAAAAAATAAAAGTAATACTCGAAATATTAAAAGTTGACGTATATATGCATAAATATGAAAGTATCTTAACAGTTTTATTAATGGGTTTGTAATAAAAGAATGGTAGAATACTAAAAACAAAAAAATATGATTTAGTAGTTGAATCTGAAATGTAGATCCTCACAAAAACAACGTAATTGTTTGAGAGCACATCTTTTATCACAATTTTAAGATAATAAATAAAGTAGGAAGTAACTGAAGTATGAAGCTATGAAGGCGAAGAAATTGTGATCAAAGAAAACATCGTAAATTATCATATTTTATAGTATAAAAAGTTATATACTATACGGTCATACTCATACAGATTAAACCATATTTTACACATTTCTAATTTATTTTCCAGGTTTGAAATATAAATAATATAATATGTATTGTTCTTATAAAAATWAATTTTATAAATAAKCAGCTAAGACGCTTAGTTATTTAATAACATTTGATTTCATTCTCAACATGACTTAGGTTAGTATATATCTTAATAATTGAGAGATATAATAACTTTCTGATTTAAATAGTTATATTTCTTATATTCTAAAACAGTTGTACATATTATATTTGTTCCCATATATGTTAGTCTGTGTTTTTGAAGCTATATTTTTTTATTAAAATTGTTAAAATAATAAGTTACATTTTAGAATTGTAGATGCCGAAATAAAAATCTCATTTATTCTTTAGAGTGTAACATTTACAGTATTATACAGATTAACACTAACATTTTGGCTAGAGGGCGATTTATGGCTTTGGATTTAGAATAATGTGATGTCGAATGAAGACAATAATTTTATGATAGTTGTAAAATTTTTAACTTCGGTGAAAGAAAGAATTTCTTTATTCACGCAAATCAATCGTAATTAGGAAAAAATTCTTCAAAAAATATCTGGTCGTTACAATAAAGAAAGCGTAATGATATGGAGTGATAAAGTATACACACATTATTATTAAACGAGTAATGAACAAATTAAAAGGGTAATTTATGATGATCTAAAATTCTTGCATTATAAATATTTTAAAAACGAAATGACATAGAACATGTTCAAATAATATCGTCCATTATGAAAGTTCTTTCGTAATAATTCAGAATGATCACTGACGAAATTTGGTGAATTTAATAAAGTTCTTTTTTTGCGAGTTATAAATTCATTAAATTTAAAAAATATTTCGAGTTTCTTGACATATTTTTAATCATTAGGATAATAATTGTAAAAACAAAATTGTTGATATTATTTATTTTATTGGTGATAATATTTATATTCGTTTTGATATAGTTTATAGTTAGATGGTTTTTACAATAAGTAATTTTCTTAAAACACAAAACAGAATAAGGGGGAAATTTATTTCTACCAACGCATATTAATTATGTGTAGACACCACTTTTATTTATATGGCGCGTTGTTTTATTTGTGTGTTAAGATATCTGATTGTTTAAATAAATATAAACTTCGTACGTAAAATAAGTCATAAAGGTGTATTAACATATTATGAAAAATGAGATAAGCTTCTATCAAGTTAATTTAATTATTGTGTTTGTGTAATGTGCTCTTTTTACTTTTTTTGTTTAAACGAATCACAAAGAAAATAGCCAAACGTCTTGAAATAACAAAGTAATATAGTAAAAATGTATTTTTTAGTATTTTAGTATCTCAAGTCTTGAAAACAAAAAAATCATAAAATAAATCAAACAACTATTTCATTATTAAGAAAATGGCTATCTGATTAGGGCTCATTTTAAGATTAATTGTTACTGAACAAAATGTAAACAGTACAAATTGTAGAAAAACGGCGGTTCTAAGCATCGAATTAACCAATGATTACCTAACCATGAACATGTATGGAACACCYGTATTGCTTGTATTGAAAGTTTTGTATAAGGCTTGCAAAAACATTTTGTACAGCGTACAGGTGCAAAAAATTTGATGTGGGGCTTAAGTTAACTAGCTTCTCGTACGATTTAAGATTGTATTCAACTCGGATCTTACAAAAAAATTACTTCGT